CTGGGACCATGCTCTTTAAACCCTAGTCCCTGGGCTTCCTGGTCAGCGGCCCTGAGTTTGAATCTGGAGTCTGTCACTCAAAAGCTGTGCCACCCAGGCAAGCCTCTGCCCGTGTCTACTTTCTTGCTCAGTGAAATGCATGGGCATCCGCTGGCATGGAATTGCACTTCCATGAAAACTCATTCCTCCTCCTTCCTCACTCTGCCACCATTGGGTTCATCAATAAAATGGGTTTGGAAGAACCAAGCCTGGCCACATTCACCAGGTTGCTGGGAAGATGGCTGGCAGGGGGTGATGTGCGCACAAGCAGGGAGAGAAGGCATCTCAGAGCTGGAGGTGAGCCATTGGGCATGTAAGCATAGTCCCCGGCACATGGTGAAGCTCCTTTGATGTGTATTCAGGGCAGTAGCTGTCCACAGTGGGCCCAGCTGGGGACTCCAAAGGTGCCAAGTTTGGAGCTGCATGCGATCACTTTCACTTGTGTGACCCAGGACCTCCCTGTGCTTCCCGTTCTTCATACATAAAACCTGGATAAGAGTGACTCCTACCTCATGGGAGCATTAGATGGGCCAATGAGATGGTGTCGGCATCCGGCTCCCATATACCCCCTGCTGTGTGCTCCTCACTGAACCCTGTCCAACCGCACTGGCTGCAGGTCACATGCACACCACGCTTGTTCCCAGTTCTGGCCCTCTGCACTGGCTCTCCCCTCACCTGGGCCGCTCTTCTCCCGTCCACCCCACAAGCTTGTGACTTTAGGCTTCAGCTCAAAAGTCACCTCCCAAGACTCCCCACTCTCCCCGACTGGAGGGTCAGGTGCACGGCAGCCCTGGCTGCTGGGAGGTGCCCCAGGGACTGTGGGCTGGCACACTGCTGAGTGTAAGCCTCGAGCCCGGGGCTCCCAAGGTAAGACAAGACAACACAACACAGCACTTGTTCCTGGCCCTGTAAGCTGCTTGGACTTCTCCTCTTCCAAACTGTCAGCACCACCCCTTCCCCTCCCCAAGACCTACTTCCTCCCTCTCTGCAGGACTCAGATGTGGGCCCAGCTGCAAAGACCCTTGGTCTGTTAAGCAACACTAGACAGTGAGGAAGCACTGGAGGGGAAGGGGAGGGGTGATTGTGCGGAAGCAAGAATGAGTCAGTGGAGGCCAGACCTGAAACTTCAGAGGCTCGCCACTTCTTGGAAGGAAAAGGATGTCCACCTAGAGACAGAAAGTGCTCTCCGAGCAGCAGGGGAAGCTCCAGCAGGGCTTGGGAGCGGGGTCTCAGGGTGGACTATATTCAGATCCCCAGGGCCTCCTTGGAGAAGCTTCCTGGGCTCAGCCCACCCCACTTCTCCGCAACTCAACACCCCCTGGCAGGAGACTCCCTCGAAGGGGCTGGTGGTTTTGAACTTCTGACTCTGCAGATCAAAGCCCAATGCAGACCCACTCTACCTGGGCTCCTTTTCCCCACGGACAAGGCGTCTGTAAAAATGACCTCTGGGAGAGGGAGGGGGAAAATGAGGAGCTGATACCAAGGGCTCAAGTAGAAAGAAAATGTTTTGAGAACGATGAAGGCAACAAATGTACAAATGTGCTTGACACCATGGATGGATGGATGAATTGTGATAAGAGTTGTACGAGCTCCCAATAAAATGATTTTTTTAAAAAAATGACCTCATGAAGCCACCCTTAGATACCCCGATTCTTCACAGAAGCAAACCGACGTCCACCAAGGTCCACTAGGTCCCAGACTTAGAAACCAGCAAGCCTAGGTGGGAGGTGGGGCTCGCTCTCTCTCTAAGCCTGGGGCCTTCTCTCTGCTCGGGGAACCAGATGTTGGATCCCTGGGATCTGCAGCCCCCTCAAAACCCCTGCCATGGTGCTCTCCCACACCCCCACCCCCACCCCCTGGCAGGAGCAAGTCCAGCCCTGCCAAGGGAAGCCTGCCACATGTGGCCAGCCATGTCTCCACTCTGCCCACCCACGGACTGCTGGGAACCATGGACCCTTCTGGATCACTCCAAGAAACCGACCCAGAGAGAAGGAACTCAAGCCGGGAAGGAAAGTGGGCTCATACCCGTCCCTCGGTTCCCAGATGCGGGACCTTAGGCACGGTCGCTGCACACCACTCTGGGCCTCAGCTTCCCCACCTGAAAAATGGGAAGAGGGAAGCCCATCCAATGGAGTTTCATGGCAGCATCAATAAGTACCCATGTATCAAACACTTTGTGCTGACTCCCCACATACTGCTGGGTCTGCTGGAGAAACAGGTACTCATGCCATCCTGGCCCCAGCAAGAAAGAGGAAGATGCACCAGATACAATCGACTTGACCATATCGATGATTGTGAGGTTGGCGCAGGGTGGGGTAAGGTTAGGGTCTATTGTGCATACACATGGTTGCAATGAGTTAGCACGGACTCGATGGCACCTAATCACCACCACCACCTCGTGGTGCAAATGGTTAAGATGCTCGGCTGCTAACCAAAACACTGGAGGTTTGAGCCCTTCATATTCCAGAGGCTCCTAACAGTCCTAGGCTCCATTGACAATCCTAGGGGACACAGTCCTGTTGACACACATGGGGTTGGCCAGGCATCAGAACCCACCCAATGGACAACTAACTGGCCGTTGTTTCAAAACCCTATAAAGCGGTCCCTATAATTATTCCTCAGGGGCCCTGGTGGTAGTCATCCATCGGGTTGCCAACTACAAGGTCAGCAGTTCAAAACCACTGTCCACTACACAGGAAACGATGGGCCTTTCTACTCCCCAAAAGAATGACAGTCTCAGAAGCTCACAGGGGCAGTTCTACCCTGTCCTATGACATCTCCATAAGTCACCGTCAACTCGATAGCCGAGTGTGAGCAAAGGGACAATGATTCCTATTTCCCAGCGGGTGAGACTGAGGTCCAGAGAAGCTCAGGATTTGCCTCAGGCCACATGCCAGTCAGTAGCAAAACCAACATTGGAACCTGAGCAGAAAGAATAGTCTAACATCTGTGTGTGTTAGGGACTGTGCTCCGTATCTTATAAAACATGAGGCCAAAGACAAAGTTTTGCAAATAAGAGATAGCAGAGGCCCAAGGAGAGCTTCTAGGTCCCAGCTCCAGAGATCCTAACCCCTCACTCTCTCCAAGCGGGGATTGGGAAAGGGTTTTCCTGCCTTGATGCTCCTTTCTAAAGTTGAGCAAGAGAGTTGTGCTGCCGGGGTAGGGGTGGGAGCCGGGTAGGGAGAGCTAGGCTTTCTGCAGCCCTGATATGGAGCTGCACAAAATACATCCATCACTGAGTCACCATCCGAAATGCGGAAATTGTCAGGTCACCCCAGACCTGCCCGTAAGGGGGGAACACTCACTAACAGCTCTGATCCCTACTGGTTCCCATAGCCTCCCTGCAAACTTGGCTACAGAGGAAGAGGGCAGGGCCCCAGGGATTTCCCTCGTGACTCTTCTGCATCCATTTGACTCCCATTTCATTGCCACCCTATAGGACAGAGCAGAGCTGCTCCTTAGGGTTTCCAAGGCTGTACATTTTGGCTGGACCTCATATTTCTCCTGCAGAGTGCCAGGTGGGTTTGAACTGCTGACCTTGCCATTAGCATTAAGAACCAACACTTTGTAGCATTGCAAAACCAACACTTAACCCACTGGCTTAGGCCCGAGGAAAACACATCAGCTTAGAGAATGAAATCCAGGATCTTCAGCAAGGCCCGTAGGTCTTTCAGAGACTGCCCAACCCACCCCTCTGCCTTCTCCTGCCCACTAAGCTCAGCATCCCCCACCCTCTCATTCCTCCAGCCTTCAGTGCATGACCACCCCACTTCTGAGGCAGGCCCTGGGGTCACACTCAGGGAAGACTTACTCACTGCCCTGCACCCTCCTCATCAATCCCCCATCTCCTCAGGGAGCAACAACTCCTTGAGGACAGTGGCACCCGTGAGTGGGGAGGGGGTGAAAAAAATCCATATTTTTGTTTTAAAATAAATACTAATAGCTCTCACTGCCCACTCATAGTGACCCTATAGGACAGGGTCGAACTGCCCCTGTGGGTTTCCAAGACTGTACTGTACCTTACAGGAGTAGAAATTCCCATCTTTCTCCCAAGAAGCAGGAAGTGATGTTGAACCGCTGACCTTGCAGTTAGCAGCCCAGTAAGTAACCTGCAAGAATCCTGTGAGCAGGGCAGTTCACACACAGAGCAGTGAGTGCTAGCGTCAGACTGCCCGTGTTTGGATCCTGCTCCAACGAAGAGGGGTGCCACTTTGGGAAAGTTACTTGACCTTGGCAGGATGGCCAGGATACACCTCATAATACCTAGAGCTAGGTGTGAGATTGAGCTCAGGAGTATTTCCACTATTCATACAAACACAGGTCAGTGAAGGACAGTCCCTGCGCGTTTCCGACCCCTGTGGGTTTCTGAGACTGTAACTCTTTATCGGCGTAGAAAGCCCCGTCTTTCTCCCGCTGCTGGTTTCGAACTTTGAACCTTCGGGTTAGCAGCCCAACGCGTAACCACTAAGCCACAGGAGCCCCTCCCGCAAAAGCAGCTCCCAGGAAATGAGCGCTACTTTGGAGGCCACCCAGTCTTGGGAGGAGGGCAGAGAGGGCCTGGCTCCCTCGGATCTGAACTCCAAGGCGGTCGGAACACTCCCAAACCTTGCTCTGCCGGCCCGCACCCACGTCCTGCCCCGGGCGGGGCGATTTCTCGCCCCCACCCCCGCGCCACGAGAAGTGGACTCCGCGGCCGGCCCGACACTTGCCTGTCTCCAAACTCGCGACGTCCCCAAAGCCCCCGAGTTCCCCTCTCCACGGCGTCTCGGGGACAGCACCAGTTTGGCGGATGTGCAGGGTGTCTGAGCACCCACAGGCAAGCCCTCCCCGGCTCCCAGTAGCCCCCCGGCGCGTGTCGGGGCGCTCCCCGGGTCCCCGCGCCCCCGGCGGAGCGAGCCCTTCCCAAACGCGCGCTGCGTACCAGCGCTGACCCCCGAGCCGCCCCTGCCCGTGGGTCCTACCTCTGAGCTCTACGTCCATTAGCCGTTCGTGCGCCGCGAGCGGAAAGTGGGGGGACCCCTTGCGCCCCAGCCTTCTTCTGAGCCGCGCGGGGCTTTCCTGGGCGCGGAGCGCCCCGCCCCGGGCCCCGCTGATTTGCATGTAGGCCCCGCCCCGAGCCTCGGCGATTTGCTTGCGGGCCAAACTGGGAGGCCAGCCAGCAAGTGCTAGCACTGTCGCCACCGCCCCCTGCAGTTCTAGCGGCCACTTCACGGTCAATCCCAACTCTCCAGGACCCTAGAGGACCAGGTAGAACAATTGCTCCATAGGGTTTCCTAGCTGGCAGCGTTCCCAGAGGAAGCTGCCTCATCGCCCTCCCACACAGCAGCTGGTAAACTGAAATCTCCCATCTTCCAGTAAGCTTCTGCCAAGGTCCTGCACCCATCGCCAGGGTTCCTTGACAACCTTGTAGTTAACAGCTAGTACAATCTGTCAACACACAAGCCACCACAGTAATTCCCATTCTTTTCCGTCGACATTTTACTATTTCAGGAGGTAGTTTATAAGCAAGAACCAATGGCTTTGAAGGAAAAAAATCCAGGCTGCACTGAAGGCATGGACCAAAAACAGGGTTCCAGCAATTAATGAAATTTCCAAGAAATTTGGAAGGCAGCTGCTTGGCCAATTGACTGGAAGAGATCTTCATATCTGAAACCATTCCATAGAAGGTGACCCAACAGATGGCTCAAATTATAGAATCATTTTATTGATGTTGCATGCAAGCTATATTTTGCTGAAGATTGTCCAACAAAGACGGCAGCAGTACATTAACAGGGAACTGCCAGAGTCAGGCCTGATCCAGAAGAGGACGTCGAACAAGGAATATTATTGCTGAGCCCAGATGGATGTTGGTTCAAAGCAGAGAATACCAGAAGAAGAAAAAAAAAGATGTTTACTTGTATTTTATTGCAAAGGCATTTGACTGTGTGGATCATAACAAACTATGGATAACCTTGAAAAGAATGGGAATTACAGACCACTGTTGTGCTCATGCAGAACTTGTACATGGAACAAGGGCATACTGTATGGTTTCAAATCAGGAAAGGTGTGCAATAGGGTTGTAATGGCTCACCATACTTAGTCAATCCATATACTGAGCAAATCATCAAATCATCAGAGAATTTGGATTATATGAAGAATGTGGCATCAAGATCTGTGATATGCAGATAACACAACCCTGCTTGCTGAAAGTGAGGAGGCCTTGAAGCACTTGCTGATGAACATTGCAGTGTTCAGTATGGATTACAACTCAATATAAAGAAGACCAAAATCCTCGCAACTAGGCCAATAGATAACATCGCGATAAACGGAGAAAAGATTGAAGCTGTCAAGGATTTTGCCTTGCTTAGATCCACAATCAATGCTCATGGAAGCAGCAGTCAAGATCAAAAGATGTGTTGCATTAGGTATATCTGCTGCACATGATCTCTTTAGGGTTTTGAAAAGCAAGGATGTTACTTAGAGGACTAAGATATACTTGACCCGAACCACGGTATTTTCCATTGCCTCATCCACATGTGAAAGTTGGGCATTGAATAAGGCAGACTGAGGAAGAATCGATGTATCTGCATTGCGGGGAGAAGAGTACTGAAAGTCCCATGGACCGCCCAAAGGACAAACCAGTCTGTCTTTGAAGAAGTATGACCAGGGTGCTCCTTTGAGGCAAGGATGATGACACTTCGGCTCACATACTTTGGCCATGTTGTCAGGAGAGACCAGTCCCTGGAGAAGGACATCATGCTCAGTAAAGCAGAGGGGCAGCGGAAAAGAGGAGGGCCCTTAAGGAGATGGACGGACAGCAGTGATGGCATCAATGAACTTAAGTGTAGGAACCATGGTGAGGATGGCGCAGGGCCGGGCAGTGTTCCGTTCTCTGGGGGTAAGGTCGTTATGAGTCAGAACCAATCAACACAATGGCACCTAACAGCACCAATCTGTCAGACCCTGGTCTAACGCACGGCACATATTCACTCATTTAATCCACACACTGAGATGGGCAGACGCAGCCTGGGCAGTGCTGGGCACCCATAGAGTGGATGTGACCTTTTCCTGAAGCTCTCAGTCTGAGGGGGAGGAGGCAAATTCTGTTGAGACAGAGAGCCCAGTGGGATCAGGTGCCCTTGGGGGGTGGGGGTGGGGTGAACCTCTGGGGGTAAGGGTTAGCTTTAGTTCTGCTGACAGCTTATAGCCTCATTCATTTATTCATTCACACATGCCCTCTTCTCCGGCCTCCTGGGAGCCTGACCTGTGACAGGTGCTGACCAACAGGCACTGTCCCTGCCCCTAGAGACCTAACGACCAGGTGGGTGAGAGCCACAGACCCCAAGCGAGTAACACATAGACTCAGTTTTGCGGGGTGGGGAGGCAGAGGTGGGCTAGGGGAGCCGGGCGGTGGGGGGTGGTTATCTCTGGCTGATACCTCCAGGGGCCAGTGGGGAGGTCCACAGAGGAAAAGTAGGTGGAGGGCGAGGCTTGAGCAAATACCTGGAGGGAGCCCTCGGCCTGGGACAGGGCAAATGGCAGTCAGTCAGGATCCATTTGTCCAAGCTCCTTGTGTCAGACCTTAAGCAGAGGAGACAGGGCTTAGCGGACTCAGCCCTTGTTTCCCAGCCCCCGGGTGGAGGGGTGGGGGTGGGGGTGGGGTCTGCTGAGGGATATAACTGGTTGAGATAATGAGTGTTGTCTGTGATGGGGGCAGCACAGACTGGCCCAGACAGGGCTGGAGAGAGGGATCTCACAGAGGGCCCCAAACGAGAGATGGCACTTAAGCTTGGGCCTCAGGAAAACCACCAATGGTTTTCACTCACAGCCACTGTAGGACGGAGCGGAACTGCCCCACGGGATTTCCCAGCCTGTCATCTTTGCAGAAGCAAGCTGCCTCCATTCCCTTCCCTGGAGTGGCTGGTAGGTTGGAACCACTGGCCTTTCTTAACCTCGACACCACCAGGGCTCCTTTCGGGCTTAAGTAGGAATTAGCCAGACAAGATTTGACTCCCAAGAGGTCCAACAGGCCTCCCACCTTGGACACGAATTGGGCAGATTCCTCCAGGGTGGCAGCTAAGGAGTGGGTCACTGGGTCATGCAAGTAAGCGAAGCATTTGGCGGCTCACCAAAAAGGCAGTGGTTCAGAGCCACCCTGAAGTAGCTCAGAAGAAAGGCCTGGTGACCTACTTCCAAATGGTTTGCCACCACAAGCTTGTGGAACACACCTCGACTCTGACGGGCACGCGTGGGGTCCCGGTGAGGGAGGTCTGACTCAGCGGCAACTGGTTCCTGGTGGGCGGTCACAGCAGTGGGTGGTTTCACTGAAAAAGAGGTGTTCCTGCCTAGAAGACGTCACACACATGCAGTCACTCACACGCCCGTGCCCCCTCACTCACACACTCAGTCACACTTGAGTCCACAGAGCTCACCTGGAGGCTGCGCCAAAAGTCTAACTTAGACTTTCCTCAGGAAGGTGTCTCCTGCGTCACATCCCCTCCTGCCCACCCCACCCTGCCTACTCCCCAACTGGGCACCCACCTTAGCTTCTGAATCTTTAAGTCAACCTCCACTCTCTTCCTGCTGGCCACCAGCCTCCTTGTCTGAGGACCAACTCCACTACTTCCTGAGCACATGACTTGGGGCAAATATAATGTTCCTGATAGGCCTCAGTTTATAAGCTATGGCTAAATAATAAATATAACAAGGGTTCTTCTGGGGGAGGGAATCAAGGGGAGCTGATATCAAAGGGTTTCAGAAGAAAAAAAACTTTTGAAAATGATGGTGTACATATGTACACATGTACTTGGTACAATGGATGGATGGGTGGATGGATGGATGGATGGATTGGAATAAGAGTTGTATGAGCCCCCAATAAAATGATTTTTAAAAAGAAAGAAAATGATGGTGGCAGCAATTGTACAACAATGCTTGATCGTGGGGAATATCCATGATGTGTCCCCCCAGCTGAGGAGCTGGGCTGCAAAGAAGTGAGGTGAGCAAGACTGGGTCCTTGTCCCACTGGACGCTGTGGCTAGCTCTTGGAGACAGAGACCTAGTAATCAAGGTGCAGTTCAGAGAAGGAGAGAGGAAGGGCCAACCAAGTGGGTGTCAAAGAATGGGTAGTTCTAACTTGGGGTGGATGAGATGAGGTGGGGGAGAATGACCCCAGGCAAGATTACCATTTGCAAAAGCCTGAAGGCCAGCCTGAGCAGGGAGCGGTTGGTAGGAGACCAGGGCGGCTGAGGAGTGAGGGGAGCGAACCTTCAGAGATGAGGCAGGAAAGAGAGGGACCCTACTCTAGGAGAAGTTCTTGAATTGGTAGCTTTTGCATTTTTTAATTTTGTATTACAGCCTACACTTAAAAAAAAAAAAAAGAATGTATGTTCTCTCCGTGTGTCTCTCTGTTTGGCTCTGCCTGTCTGTCTGTCTCCCTTCTATCACATACTCTTCTCTATTCTGTATTTCTTAAAATGCTGACCTGGAGCAAAAGAAACGAAATAGTATAAATCACACGAGTCCATTTATATGCAAGTCCTATGACACACAAAACGATAATCTTTGCTGATAGAAACAGGGCAGAGGCTGTCTGGGTGGGGACCAGTGGTGGGGCTGGGGTGGGGTTGGCGGCAGCAGGATGCAAGGTAACATCCTGAAGAGATGGAAATGGTCTGTATTTTTGTTGTCGTGGTTACATGGGCACATGCACTTGTCCAAAATAAATGCACATTTACAAAAGCACAGGGGGGGACTTTCTGGGGCATTGGTGACACTTCATATGGGCAAAGGGGTTTGTGTTCAACGGGTGGGTGCATTTGCCCAGAGCTCACTGAATCATACACTTAATCTTTATACGTTTCAGGTGTATGTAAATTTCACACCAAAAAGAGAAAAATTGGAACAAATAATGAGCTGTGTGTTGACATAGTTAGGAGGAAGATATTGATGTCTGGGACTTGCTTTTGTAAACGTGTAAAACACGAGACAGATGTACAGCTGGATCCAAGACTAGAATCATGAAACGACATGTAATAAAGCAAATATAATCAAGTGAGCACGCATG